ATGGCCTGACACATCATTATGGTGTAACTTCATTGTGTGTCATGTATGTTTGTGTGCGGTGGCAGTGTGTTCACCTCTCAGGCCGAGCAGCCTCTGGAGGAGCGAGCTCTCTGACGGAGCGAGCCCTGTGCTCTCACTTGGTCTGGACCCGCTGTGGACACACATGCTTTACATTACATTACATTGCATTTAGCTGACGCTTTATCCAAAGCAACTTACATAAGTGCTTGGACCACAAAATACAAACGTGAAGAAAACAGATTCATATAAGTACATAAGGTTTCATAGAGCTAAAACGTTTCCAGTGCTACTCAACTGGCTTTAGATAAGCCAGTCCTTTATTAATAGGCTATATAAGTGCTTTGTTAATAGTTCTATCGCTCGAAGTGGAGTCGAAAAAGATGAGTTTTCAGTCTGCGCCGGAAGATGTGGAAGCTTTCTGCTGTCCTGATTTCAATGGGGAGCTCATTCCGATTCCACTACAAGGCAATTGGTTCGACTCCTTCTGGATTCAAATCCCTTGATTACAAGTCTCATCGTTTCTTGTGAAACAACAAATCCCCTTTGAACAGCTCGTAGATGTAACCAACGATAGCCTTGTAGTCGGCCAGAACCAGCCATTTCCTACTGCAGAAAGGAGACAATCTCCTCCAAGTCCGTTTGGTTCTTTCTTCGAAATAATAGACATAGTTTCTTGCACAACCTTTTCAAAGTTCTAATACTTATGATAATCTGATGCTGATGTGCCAAAAGATTAAGTATTTTGTTATTTGAGAAACCTAAACTAAAGTACTGCTTCACAAGAGCAATAGCAGGTTTGTGTTCATGCATTAACGTTCAGCTTAAGTCAACATTTTAGATAACTGGGTTGCTAAGTTGTGGGGGAACATGGTGGCTTTTTATTCACCCATTTTCAGGTGTAATGGTAACACTGTGATAATGTCTAAGCCATACTGTCATAAATGTTGGTCTTTGAACATTTGATGAGCATCAATTAAATGGCAAAGTGGTCGATAATCAATTTTTCGGGACTTGATCCAAAAAAAATGTAGGTCGTCTTAATTCTTCAGCTTTTAGAACTTCACTTGCTTAAGTTTTCTTTCTGGCTTTTGTTTTGACCGTGCATTAATCAAAAGAGAACAAGGATAACTCTGAAATGACTTTCCCTTTTGTTCTTACAGCAAGTCTCTCCAATCCACACTGGAACTCCATTTCCCAGCGTCCTTCACTCCAACAGAGGCCAGAGGAGAGGCCGGTACACTCCTCAACCGCTCCTCAATCCAGTGCGTAGAGGAACGGGTCTCTACTCCTCCATCTCATCTCTCAATCACCGAGAGGAGGAAACAGCATGTCCAGATGAGGGAGATGAAAATGTGTCACTGTAAGTAAAACATTTATTCTATTTAATTTGTATTTTTTTGTAGATTTTGATCAGTTTATTAATATTTAGATTTTCTTTTTTTGCTTCTTTTTCTCCCTCCAGGTATGTCAATGTGGGTCATGATTTCCAGGCAGAGCTTCCTATATGCTTAGTGGATGGGGAAGGGTCAAGGGTGTTGTGTCCAGAAGAGGAATCGCCTAGGGAACAGTTGCTCTGGAAACCATGGGATATGCTGGAGGAGAATACCAATTTACAAGACCAAGGTAAGTAGCGAACTGAAATACAGCTTAACAACCCAAACATGTAATAACCAGCTTTGGAGTCATCTTTGAGCAGGAAATGCCAATCAATTCTCATTCATTTATTCAATGGTCAAAGCTAAGATAATCATATCCTCAATTAATGTTTTTAAATGAGTCAATTTTCCGCTACACTCTATGCTGAAAACGGTTTTTGTTTTGCTCTGTGTGTGTGTGCATGCACAGTGGAGAAGCTGTTGTCCATGTGCAGTTCCAGCTGTGCGCCAGGAGGGGGCAGTAACACAGAGCTGGCCCTGCACTGTCTGCACTTCTGTCAGGGGAACATAATGGTAAGCACTGAGGAAATAAAGATACTGTCTTTCTTTCTTAATTCTTCAATAATTCTTCCCATCATTTTAATCATGCCTCCATCCTTTGTGTCGTACTTCCATGCATCTTTACTCATCTACTTATTGTCATTTCTTACTATTTTCTTTCTCACTAACTCATCGATGTCCAGTTAACTCTCTTCAGAGCCATTGCATGCCTCATGCTTCTGTTCTCCTCCTCCTCCATCCCTCTCTCCTGCAGGCCGCTCTGGAGATGCTGCTGTTCTCACAGCCCTCGCCTGCAGGAGACTACCACTACTCTGGTAACCTTTGACCTTTGCATCACCCTAAGGTTGCAGTCGAATAAGACAAAGAAATACATCCTGGGTCTTACACCAATAAGAGTTGGGATAAGAGGGCGAAGAGAATCCCACTAAGCTTACATAAGGATATCAATGTTTTTTAAAACGACTTTATTTATAATACATGGAAAATGAGGACAGTTACAAACTAACTTCTGTACAATATAAGTAAGGATTTATGTCCAAAACCATAGTGCTCAATTATGATCAGACTCTTTGGCTCTGACAAATATATAAATATATAATTTAACCTGAGTTAACTCCACTTTACATATTCAACCACAACTGCAGGACAGAAATAGGTGGAGAAATAAAAATAACAAAAATGTGTTTAGTGTTTCATAACAGCAAATAGTTGTCTGCAAGTCAGAACGTGAGTCAGAACATGGGTAACAATTCCCACTGTATGTACAATAGTCGCCTTTGTAGAAACCAAATCCATCCACTTTCACAAACTCTATCCCTCTCCCTCTTTGTTCCACGCATTGAAATCCACCAGGCACCCTTTAAAGCACAGAGTAGACATTGTTCTGCACACTAGTGTTACCTCAGGGTGGTGTGTTTCTGTAGACAGGGTACCGCTAACAGTTTTTGGCCCACTGGCAACAGCCTGACAACATTTAGGATGTCTGAACTCCCTGGTACGTCTCTGGACCCCCCCCCCCCCGTTCCAGCTTTCAACTCCCTGAATGTCTCCAGGCTGTGTGTCTCTCTAAAGCTCACAGAATGAAGTCCAATAAGTAGTAGAATGCACTAATACTTACTTACTTCGATTTTTTTAATATAATGCATTGCTGCAGATTAAACTTAGCCTATATAATAGTTAGAATTAGCGCAACCTTCATACCAACAGTTTTAAAATGCAACAGCAGTAATAGTAAAAAAAAACATATATAATAGTAAAAGGTAACATCTTCCTGCAAAAAGACACTTTTACTTTACCTTAATGTATTTGCTGATGATACGTGGTTTTGAATGCAGGACTTATTAATTGTAGTGTTTAATCATTTTACTGTGTATTGTTGTACTTTTACTGAACTAAAAGTATCTAAAAAAACTGCTTCCACCCGTCTTCTCTGTCTGCAGGTAGTGATTGTTGGACAGACAGCGAAAAGAGTCTCTTCGGTGCAACTCTGCGGACTTATGGGAACGATTTTTCACTCATAAGGAAAATGGTACAGTTGTTTTGCATTTGCTTATGCTGCATTCTTTTATGGTTACCTTCTCAATGTTTTCCTTTTCTAATGTGTCGTACCCTAAAAGAGTAACTCTGCGCATACCTAGTACACACATCATTTAAAAAGGCTAGTTCTGGTAAACAACACACAGTGACCCATATGGTCAGGAAATACTCAACCAAAGGAGGATCAGTTGATGGTGTGTTTGTGTTGCAGGTGAGGACTAAAACCCTGAGCCAGTGTGTTGAATTTTACTACCTGAGCAAGAAGCTCCAGGACAAGCAGAAGAAGCAGAGAGAGGAGGAGATCCGAGAAGCAGTGATGGAGCAGCAGAAGAGTGTAAGAAACACAAAAAGGAATTCTGAATGTTGTTCAAATATGTTTGCCTCTTTTCAAATTGACCCTTTTGGTTTGTGTTTTAATAGCTGCCTTTTGCTTTAGTTCTCACTATCTCCTTATTGTTTTGTCTTTTGTTAACCGTTGTTGACAATAACTTTGTCATTTACACATATGATTATATTGAGTTAGTAGATTTAAGGCCTTATGGATCTTTGTTCCCCTTTCCCCTGTCATTATTGTAATGTTAACCTTTTTTGCAACGGCATGTGCCGTTATGATTCCACAGTCCCTCCCCACATCCCAACACTGAAATTTGAGTGTAATTCAATGGTCTACAGATCTATAGATATCACAATAACATTGTCATTGTGAATTATTTTGCAATAATCTGGTGAAAATCAGATATTGTAACCATCGAAATTCCCATGACACCCTGTGGGCTCCACTGTCCTGCATTGACCAATAGGACTCATAGAATATAAACAAATAGTGTTGAGCAGGTTAATTCTGTGTAGCAATGCAGGAGGAGTCACCAATTCAAAAGGAGACACTGGGAGAGCAGGAGCTTTGATGGCAAACACTGATGGTTTATTAGGAGCTTCGGTCGGAGAATTCACAAAACAAGTCAAAGAGTCAGAGGTTCTGACTTCACGCTAGAGTTGCCACGTCAATTCTGAAGAACTTTACCCCAGACCCGTGTATTTAGCTAGTTCAGAGAGACTAATCAACATGCTGCATAACAAGATAGAACCATAACACCTCTATCAGCTGACGCCAACAGGCAGGAACAGGGAGACAAAACACTGAGAGCACAGCAGCCAAGGTTACAAGTGTGTGTGCTAAGTCAGGACAGCATGAACTGATAAACTGGATTAAAGTCATGGGCCTTGGAAAATATTTGGATTCTTGTGCAAACAGTTCAATCAAATAATGTTGTTTGTGGTGTCTAATGCAGCCCAGCCAGTCAATTATAGCACAGTTGCTTAAGATGGGTCCTGTGTTCATAGATAACCTCCGTCCGTCCACCAATGGTAGCACAGTTTGGACCAGAGCAGGCGGTTCCTGCCCCCCCACTGACCAGCTTCTTCCCATGCAAGCTGTGTGGCAAGTAAGTAGAACCAGTTATAATGGATAAACATTCTCATGCAAACACATGGTTTATATGTTCTTGATTTCTTCTTTTCCAACCCGTTTTTCCTCTCTCTCCGCCCAAGAATGTTCTACAAAATAAAGTCCCGTAACGCTCACATGAAGATCCACCGGCAGCCTCAGGAGGATTGGAGCGACCGGCGGCTGCAGCAACAGCTCTTCACCCAGCGTCTGGCTCTCAGCCGCCCTGCAAACCTCATCTCCACCCTGGGCGGTAATCTGCTCCCCCCCCAGGCTGCAGCGCTGACCTTTTCCTCCTCTGGAAGCAGCAATACAGACACTGTCCTCAACTCTGTAACCAACAGCATCACTCCTAGCAACGGCAGCGTCCTTGATCCTGGCGCCGTGGTAACATACAGAAACATCGCCGCTTCAAACTCTCAGGTTGACACAAATACAGACTCTAATCAAAGAGAGCCGTCCACCCTCTTACCTTTCCACCAATTATGGGGCTCTTTTGACCCCGACCCCACTGTCTTTTACTGCAACACAGAAGAGAAAGATGGAGGTGGGATGGTGGGGGGGAAAGAGACAGTCAACTGGCATTAAAAGCATGACTGACACTTAGCATTACTGTTTTTAATGCAAACTCAATTTTACATCAAACTTTTTGTCCAGGGATAAGTCCTAAATCCCGAACACTTCCTGTTCCCTCGGCTTTTGGTTAATGCTGAAATAAGATCTGTGGTTAACACAAGCTGAAGAGATGTTTTTACATTTTGTTCTAGGAACAAAAACACGTCAGTAAACACCCCACTGATAAATGTCTGAAGCATTAATGTGTCTTAAAAACGGCCGTTGCTAACAAGTGTCTTAGCCGCCTTTAGCTTAGCGGTGGTGACCTGGAGTCATGTGACTCTGCTGTAGTTCCGTTATAGCCTAGAGTTAGCCTTTGTCTTCAATAATCATTAAAGGAGTTAATCCTGCTGAACAAGATATGAAAGTATCATAAATGTGTGTTTGCCACAGAGAATATTTTCTTCAACATTCCAAAAGCCATTGGAAGAATCCCTTTGACTTTTTGTTGAGGGAACCCTTGTGATGCTAACTTCCAGTTTGCTTACGAAAATATGTCATCTCTCACCCCTCTGCCAGGGACGTAATGTTTTCAGACTGGTTTGTTTGTCAGCAGGGAAACACAAATGGGACTAATATCATTACAAATGGTAAAAGGGTTAAGCTTGGGCCAAAGGAGAACCCATTAGAATTTGGAATCGGATCAAGAGTCGGACACATTACTTTTGTTAACACAGCAAAGTAAAGCATTTGGCCATCAGGATGTTCTCTGCTCTCCAAATGCCCTTCTATTTTCTGTATTTTGAGTGAATCTAAAATGGTAACATATTTAGATGTTTATTCAGCATTTGAATAATATTTGTAGCCTTGTGTTTTTTTTTGATTGAACAAACAATATTAAACTTGTTCTATTGTACGTTTTAAAGGTTGTATCTGTTTCTCCATGTTTCCAGTGTTGGTTCCATGCTCACTGTCTTCCCTCCTGAAGCTTCGTATTCGTAACAGAGTGTTATTGATTTTCATCTAATGTTAAGCGTAATGTTCCTTTATTTCTGTAACACAGATATTTGCAGAATTGAGTAGACAGATTGTCCTCACTTTCCATAATTTCCTCGCTCTTGAAGTCTGACATGTGTGGTCCTCACAAAGATAGATATACATGAACACACACACACAGCTGGCACAGCCATTTGAAAACACACAGCTTGTTGAAAGGTTTTTCATATAACACCATAATGGGCTAATATTGACCCTGGTAGACCATCTCCTCTCTTACAGCTGCCTGAGCCCAGAATCTACCTGTTGATGGTTAACTACTGTGTTTTTTTGTGACTGTGCTGCAGGATGCCAGGAAAAGAAGCAGTCAGTGAAAGTAGGACTGCTGAATTCAGATTGCGGTTCATCTAAAATTAGGCATATAAACAAAAATGCATTTATGCATTATTTGTAAGGATCAAAACAAACAAGGAATATCCTAAATATACCATCTTGTCCAACGTTATTTAGCTAATAGAATCTGTAAACTGACTTTTTTTCTCTGCAACATTTACCTGTAAAGAAATTTGAGTCATACTTGTCTATCCGGTGGCTCCAGTGCATTTCTCCAGGCGGTGTGTTATCTTTCTTTGTTCCCGTATCTCCACGAGTGTTATCGCCACTGTGAGAGTGATAACGATATGTGTGTATGTATGTAAGTCTGATTGTTAATATGTATATAAAAAGCCACATGTCCTTTATAGGATTATTTTCTTTAAAGTAAAGCCTGAGCAAGCAGGTCCATGTGTATGTGTTCAAACATTTAATGAATGTGTGTGTTTTTATGAGCATTGTGTGTTAACCGTATTTGTGTGTGTGCCTGATAAAAGTTACAACAGCCTTCAAACGGTTCCTCCCCCTGTCAAAAGTCCACCATGTCAGGCACAGTTTGTCTGCCCTCTTTTTCTCTCTGACGTTGATTTGTTTTTCAGGTTCTTTATTAACACTTCTCACTTCTGTTATATAGAGCATGAGTCTACACAATAAGTGACTATCCTCTTAAATATTGAGCAATATCTTAGTAAACAGTCCTAAATTAGGAATGGGGAACGAGTTGGGCGTAGTTTTGGAGTACAGGTTGTTTCAGGATTCTCATACTTTGATTGGAAAGTTCCGAGGAGGAGGACATCAGAGGGGGAGTGGCGATCAGTCCTGAATGTTGGCTTTTTTTCAGAGAGGGAGCGAGGACAAACGCGTATATAAAGGGGGAGAGGGAGATCAGACCAATGTGGAGAGGGAAGGGGGGACTGGGCAGAGAATAAACAGAGGAGGTATGAGCATTCCCCCTTTCACAGTGAGCAGCTCTTTGCCAGTCCACTGAGCACAACCCATCCCCACTTTCTCTCTTCTGCTGCCTTTCCCTTTTTTTTCTAGAGTTGTACAAGTAAAAAAAAACTTTCACTGATGTGACAATTGTATTACACTTAAAACTACTAAAACACTTTTACCCTCATAAACAGAAGTTAAAAGAAATGGTTGACCATGTGTAAATCAGAAATAACTAAAATAGACACAACTAAAAGACAATGATGTTTTGCTTAAAGTTTTATTCACTATACGCCTGCTGCTGACACTTGATATATTGTGTTTGTTAAAGCATCTGCATATAAGATTAACGGGCTTAGTACTTAATACCCGTTGCACACATTGAAGCATACTTTGGTATTTGTGTCTTCAGGTGACTTATTTGCACACCAGGTCAGGCTCTTGTAACATGTATCATGTTGTTTTATTTTAAGGTCTCCTATTATGCATTTGTATTATGTATTTCCGAGACATGTTTTGTATATATCTGAGACCTATAATATATTGATGAAAAACAGTATAATAGGAGACCAAAATGTCTTGTTTTAATCACCATTAAAAAGTAACAGAAACAGGTAACAAAACGAAATAACTAGACAACAAAGGAGGGTCATGTAAGCTTTGTTTACCTGTCACTCTTGGGTTGAAAAGTCACCTGGAGGGTATATGTTGACCTCCGTACTCTAAGTAACACAAAATGAAGACATGATAATATTAACAGCCTGCTGGAAGGGGAAGGAGCCCCATAAAAATACTTCTGAGCTCGGTGCAATGTGGCCTAGCTACAGCAGCACTGGTGATGCGATTCTGGCACGCTGTGGTTGGCCCACTTGGCAAGGTGTAATAACAGCAAAGTTAAATCGAAAGGGCACTTCAACCAAGGCCGTCCCTGGCCGTGCAGAAAGCAGAGCAATGTGTATAATATATATCACTCAGTATAACAGGCCTACATTACTCTCTTTATTTGCTTTAGTTTAGTAGATATCTACAAACAAAGAGTCAATATTTGTCTAAAACAATTTAGTGCTTAGTTCACATAATAAAATACACAATGGCTGTGTAAATAAAACTTTTGGCCTGTCATTTTATTTCCTCATTGTAGCGACCAGGGGGGGGGGGATCCAGTATCCAGTCTCTGATAGTGTTACGTTATTAAGCTGTGAGTGCTCTCATACTTGTTTGATTCTGAAATTGTATATATTTATATAAATATATATATATACCTATATATCAGCGGGACTGAGACATGAGGATAGGAGTCGAGGATGGGAGTCGAGATGTGGAAATTAGTGAAATGAGAAAGGCCCACAGACTCTGCTATCTTGAAGCGATAAGAGAACACAAAATAGTTGAGAAACAGTCAGGTATGAGTGTACCTGTGTGTGATTGTGACTGCGTGTGTTTCTGGACTCCTGCCAAAACGCCACAAGTAAACGTAGATACTGTGGGTGCAAAAAATACAACTACACAACAATACAAATCTTGAAAAAGTACTGATGTTCTGACTTCCAGCTAAGGGGCTGTGCACATTTCTTCCCGGCATAACTGCCAATTTTCATTGAAATATCACAACGACAACAATGTGTAATAGAGTGCATTTCCTCTTTAAATTAGGGTGAAGTGCTTGTCTTTTGCAGGGTGTGGTGTCCTCACAGTTTTCTCTCTGCACTCTAAAAACAAATGCCTTGGTTCAACAAAGAAAATTAACGCAACAGTTTGCATCGATGTTTATTGAGTTAAGACAACTTCTAATGAAATTGTCTTAAAGCAACAAAGTTATTTGAGTTAGGGGAGAAGGCTTTTCCTCTACAATCAGAGGTGTTTTGAATTACCACTTACTTAATAATTGGTATTATAAACACAAGTTTTGAAGTTGATTACTCAAAAGATTAAGTTGTTCCGATTAGTTTTACCACATGATTTAAAAGGGATTTTAAGTTGTATGTACTTAATTACCCTCATTGTGAACACACGTTTTTAAGTTGACAACCATTTATAAATTAAGTTGCTCCAAATATATTCTATTCAATAGTTTTTTTCTTAGCTTTTTCATGTTNACTTGGAGGAGATTGTCTCCTTTCTGCAGGAGGAAATGACTGGTTCTGGCCGACTACATTACATTGCATTTAGCTGACGCTTTTATCCAAAGCGACTTAGTAAGTCGCTTTGGATAAAAGCGTCAGCTAAATGCAATGTAATGTAGTCGGCCAGAACCAGTCATTTCCTCCTGCAGAAAGGAGACAATCTCCTCCAAGTCCGCTTCTCAAGTCACTTATGAAACTACGACTTTATTCTCGTAATTATGACTTTATTCTCGTAACTTTGACTTTATTCTCGTATTATTACGACTTTATTCTCGAAATTTCTCTGGTTTTTTTTCTAAGTGTGGCCCTAATACTCCGTCGTATAATCCAATGCGTCTGTCACTTTGAAAAAATTATTGATAATCCATAATTAAAATGTTATGCAAAAATCGGAGAATTAATTTTAGCTGCTAATGGTAGCCTCCAGAGCCTATCGCAGCTTCCGGTTTTGGCTATGCGTCACTCTCACTCCTTATTTGGTAGTGTGTGTGTGTGTATGTGGAACTTGCCCTCGATTCCATTGGATCTAGCGGTTAAAAAGAGATGTCAATCATCAAAATCGACAAAATCCATATTGATTCTGACTCTTCTACATCCAACTCACAGGTTTATCATTGCTTTGAGAAAAAAGATTATTAATTTTCCCCTTTTAGAAGGGTAGTTATGGTCATTTGTTCTGGGAATGTCATTTTCGAGCCTGAGACCTGGAAAACAGGTTAAGAGGAAATAAAGAAACGTATTCTCCAAAAATGTCTGTTTCTTTGAATTTGCTCGGCGTACTGTACCTGTAGCTGTGCTTGTTTAAGATTGGCTTCTTCTCTCTTCACTTTCTGGGTCACAATGTAAGGGGCTTTCTTTTCTGCTGCCTCATAACATTGGTCTGTGAGGTGAGGTGGAAGAGAGGGAAGGTGGAAGGCGGAATAGAGGGCTGGAGCGCTGGAGGGACCGAGGGCTCTGGATGGATGAATGCATGAAGGATGGGAGGTGGAGGAGAGGAACGGTGATTCTGGAGACTGAACGTGGGAGGCTGGAAAAATGAGAGTGGAGGAGGACAAGAAGAGTGGATGTCAATGCTGCATGATAAACTGCTGGATCATTTTGGGTGTGGCAGAATACATCACTGTTTTCTGTGCAGACTTTTAGGAACTAACAGAATCTGCTTCGAATCAATTCTTGAAAAAAAAAACATTCAAAAGCATGCATTCAGTGTTATGG